TATATATATATATATATATATATATATATATATATATATATATATAGTCAATTGACACTTAACGGGGCTTTTACTCGGAGGAGGGGAGCGAGTGGTTGGCCCGGAGTGTAAGGTGGAGACAGATAAGGGCTCGGAAAGGTAGCAAAGGCAGGGAAAATGAAGAAGTGAAGTGGAGTTGGTGAAAGAGGCGTGGAGGACGTCGAGGAAGTGGAGGAGGAGTCGAGGGTGACAGAGTCATTACCAATCAATGTTAACGAGGAGAGAGTGGTACGGGTTGAAAGTCAGGGTGCTTTTGGAGGTTAGGACGAGGAAAAGGAGGAAGAAGGGGCAGGGACGGAAGAGGTGAGAAGATGTGGAGGGGGAGCGGCGGCTTGGAGCAAGGTGCGGCAGGCGGAAGTGGAAACGTGGGACTCGCTGGTTGGTCTGTCGGCAAGGCGCGGTGGAAATAGCGGTACGAGTCGGCACGAGGGGTCGACTGCCCCGAAAGGGCATGTTGGCACCACTGTGGGACAACGGGACGTGGCGCGCAAGAGTAGACGACAGGCAAAGCGGGTCGATAAGGAAGAGAGAAGAGATACCGGCAATGGAGGAGATGGCACGACGCGTGTCAGCACGACATCGATCGAGTGTTGAGAGTTGGTAATCGATTGATTGAGAGAAGAGGATTGACGGAGCATAGCGAGCGCACGGCAGCAGGGGGTACAAACTCCCTCTTGAGAAAAGCGGGGACGGTTTTCAACGCCATCTGCACCATGGCCCGGAAAATGAAACTAAAATTGGTCACGTGACATGGAGTGGGGATTCAGGAGCACGCATTCAAATCTATATATACATACATACAAAATATTCTAGAAATTATTTATAATAATAATTAACAAAAGATCTCGCAATAACTTGTGAGGGAAATAATAAAGAAATTCAATACACATAGTAAATACAATAAATGACAGAATTTATTTCTTAATTTTTTTGGATGTATATTGTTTATAGTCATTTGACATGCGTTTTCTATTACATTTTTCCTCTCTAAACATCTCTCGCCTTTTTTTCATTTTTATAATGTCCTGTACACAATTGGATTCTGTATCTTCTTTATTAATACTACATATAAGTATATTTTTTTTGCACCACCAAATCAAGAATTTGCTAGTAATTATTTGTATCATCGTTTTAAACGCATTATTATGATGCTCGACACAATCATACCAATCAATGTTAACATGCCAATTGTCAAAATGCTCTAACAATATTTTTAAAATATCTCGTCGATGAGCTCGCGTTTGTAACAATTTATTAAGCCTGCTTAATATGTGCTTTACGAAAATTGGAAATTCACTATATGTCAAACAGGTATTACATTCTTTACAATAATTGAATTGTTTTAAAATAGCAGTAATAATTTCTTGTAAATATTCTGGTGCAAAATCTACGGTTGATTCTTCATGAACAGTTACATTACTTATCAATTCATGTGGTTCGTCACGTTCATCATTGTTTTCGCAACTAACATCATACACCTCAGCATTTGAACGATTATCTTCCAAGCACTTTTCTAGCGAAAACAACATGAAGCTACTATGTACAGTTTCGCAATTACCGCCTTTAATTGAAAAAGATTTCATGTTGCTCACCAATAAAGTTATAAATGAATCTTTGAATTGTCGAGGTGTCGGATTTACATTACAAACCCCATGACTTCTAATTTGGCCAAAGAAATTTTCAAATGGATCCTGATTACAAAAACGCGCGTTTAAAGATTTAAAATCATATTTTTCATTAAGTACATTCCAAATTTTTTGAAATCCATCTACAGTGAATAACCAATTTTTTAAACTTGGGATATTTTTCACAATTTTATGTGTTACCTTATCTATAAATGTCATGTTTCGAAGTACATTTTTAGCATTCGTCCAGAATTCATGATGGACACTCTCTTCCGTTACAAGAAATTGTAAATCATCTGTCATATGAACTTTATTAATGTTCACAATTGGCTATATCTGCTGTACCGTTTCGCATGATTCTGCGGAAGCTGCGACAATATCAGAATTTACTTCAACATTTTCTGAAATTTGTAATGCGGTGATAGTACCAATATCAGCAGAACTAGTACTGGGAATATCTGATGCAATATTTGCATCTAAGAAATTATCAATATCAGCAGAACTAGTACTGAGAATATCTGCTGCAATATTTGCATCTGAGAAATTATCAATATCAGCAGAACTAGTACTGGGAATATTTGCTGCAATATTTGCATCTGATAAATATAATGTAGGCATTGCAGTGTCCTTAAGACGCCGCTTCTGCCCGTAAGGTATTATCATACTTTCAGAAAAATGTAAAGAGCAAATTCTTAATTTGTCCTTTGCTTCTTTTGTTGCATCTATAACAAAAAAATACGTATCAAAACATATTACTATAAGAAATACCTTATCGTGTAAAATATATATGAAAATTATCAATATGAGACTGTCATTTTATTAAATATTTTTATAAATTATTGTAAAAAAAATACATATAATATTAATTTAATTTTTTTATATATGTGGAATATTTCATTTATAAATGCAACATAAGTATATACGAAAAGATATTCAATATTATTAATACATATATCAATTCTTAAAAACTTACCGATTACATCACATCTTCCGATTACTCTTAACCATGCCTGAGCCTTTATTTCGTCTCGTGGTAATTTGTGACCAGGAACTTTATTGAAGATGACGTGCACCCTGGCACACAGCATTTCCACACCATTGTGGCTTTTCTTAAAATAAATACATACATTATAAATATATATATATATATATATATATATATATAATAAATAAATTTAATCGTTTTCCATGCAAAATATGTGTATTTGTCTGTGTTGCATGTACATATGATTGTTGTATACATTATTATTATGTGTGTAAGGCTGCGGTCCATTTGATGCTACAAATGCTTCGAAGCATTCTTCTTCTCCTTTCTTTCAATGAAGAAAGAAGAAGAAAAAGAATGCTTCGAAGCACTTGTAACATCAAATGAACCGCAGCCTAAGTATGTGTGTTAATATTATATGTGTATACAGAGGTTAGTAAGCTACTTCTTTTCCTCTAATTTCTGTATAATCATAACATGCAATTACCTTGCTTTGGCTTGCTAGCTCGTTCTTGCTCGCTGTAGCACGTGATAGCACGTGATAGCACGTGATAGCACGCTGTAATATTTCTTATACGGCTTAAAACACCCGGACTAAAACTGAAGCAAAGGCGGTTGACTGCGTCAGCAATCCTCGAAAATTTTTGGAATGAAACACCTTCAAACACGTTCTCGGTCTCGTACTGTCTCGTACCAAAAACTATCGAATAATAGCCTATGCTATCCGACATTCCGTTCCGACAAGAAAATGTGAGCCATAAGACGAAGAAGAAGACCAGAAACTATCTCCACTCCATGTCACGTGACCGATTTTAGTTCCATTTTCCGGATCATAGTGCAAATGGCGATAATGTACATCCGTCCCCCGTTTTAGCATGGGAGTTTGTACCCCCTGCACGGCAGTGCACGTCACAGCAGAGCGAGGAGAGATGTGAGAGACGTCACGAAGAAAAGAAGGGAAGCAGGAAAGCAGTAAAAAGAGTAAAGAAGAGCAGGAGAAATGAAGAGAAGGAGAGGACAAAGGTGAAGGGTGAACAAGTAAGTGAGGAAGTAAGAGGAGGAGAGAGATGGGAGGCGCGCGCACACACACACGCAGGTGGGTTAGAGGAGGCAGAAAGAAGAAGAGAGGAAGGGTAAGAAGATAGAAGTTGGATAAAAGCTATGTGTAGGAAGAGGAGCTGAAGGTAAAGGAGGATAAAGATAGGGATTACACAAACACGCATACGCGAACTCGCACGGAGGGTGGAGGAAAGGCAGAGAGGAGAAGAGAGGGGAGGCGAAAAGGCATATGCTAAGGAAAGTTTATTTGTAGGAGGAAGAGATACGTGAGAGACGGAAGAGTGGACGGAAGGAAGAAAGGAGAGCGGAGGGACGAGGCAAAAGTCTGAAGAGGTGAAGCAGGAGAGGGGAAAGGAGAGGGGGCGCAGCTGAGAAGAAGGCAGGAGGGTAAAGAGAAGACGGCAGAGGGGAGAGCGGGGAGATGGAGGAGTCAGAGGGCCTGATGAGGGTGCTGAGCACGATTGCAGAGGAGTTAGGGAGGATCAGAAGAGTGCTAGAGAGAAAGGAAGGAGTGCAGAAGGAGCCGGGAGTACCGAGGAGAGAGGGTTGGAGAGTACGGGTGAAAGGAGCGAGCCGGGAAGCAAGACGGAAGAAGAAAAGAGTAGTGAGGCGGAGCGGTGGAAGGAGGCGATGAGAAGAGAGGTCGCAGGATTAAGAGATGAAAAGGCGGAGGAAGGTGCAGCAGAAGAAAAGAACGCCTCAAAGAGGGTTAAAGAAGGCGGAGAAGAAGAGAGGAGGATAGTATGGGACAGAGGGGAGAGGATCGGAAGATGGGTGGAGGAGGAGGCAAGAAGAAGAGTAAGGGCGGCGGGGGCGAGAGGGGGCTGACCGGGGGGATGAACAGAGATGGAAGGAGATGGAGGAAGTGGGGAGGATAGAATGTAAGAGGAGAGGGGGAGGGTCGCAGAAGGAGGCAGAGAGAAGTTAGAGCAAAGAGAGGGAGAAGACAAGGAGGCTGAATGAGAGGGTGAAGAGGTTGGAGGAGGAGAGGGAGCAAAGAGAGAGAAAGAAGAGAAATGTCGTATGGAGGGGGTTGGATGGGAGGGACGCAAAAGAAAGGAGGGGTCTGATGGAAAGGGTGGCAGAGAAGGTGTTGAGTAAAGTACCGAAGATTAGAAGGGTGTGGGAAAGGAGAGTGGAGGGAGGAAGGGAGGTACTGATAGTGGAGATGGAGGATGAGAAGGAGAGAGCGGTTCTGTTAGGAAGGTATGGAGAATTCAGGCAGAGGTGGGGTATAGGCGTAAACGAGGACTTGACTATGGAAGAGAGAAAAGCGAGGTGGAGGTTACTTGAAAAGGCAAGGGAGGAGAGGAACTAGAGTCGAAAACAGGAGAATTTGGGTGGTAGAAAAGGAGATTGTGTGGAACGAGGATGAAGGGAAATGGGAAGAGAAGTAAGGGTAGGGAGGGCCGGAGGTTAAAGAAAGGGGGAAAAGAGAAGGAAGCGAAGGGGAAAGGGAGGAGGTCATCCCTGTGTTGCAGAGGCGGAAGCGGTGAGGAGGCGGAGAGCTGAGGAGTTAGAGCACGGAAAGAGGGTGGAAGAAGCGGCCAGGAGGAGGAAAGGAGAGGCAGGGTCCGAGTGGGTGGGAGGGTACCAGGATGTAAAGGGTCGCACGCGGCCAGGTCGGGTATAAGGGGATTGTATTTTGTAAAGGGTTGGGTACGTCCCTAAAAAACGCCATATGGGTTATTTGATGGTTGTAAGATATTTGTGTATGTTGTAAAGGGTTGGGAACGTCTTTTCAAAACGCCTTGCAACTCTGAGGGGAGTCAATAAACAATACATACATACAATTGACACTTAACGAAGATTAACACAATAACATTTAAATGACACCCAACGATAAAGGGGTCATGACGACACTGATTAAATCGACATAGAACATTAAAGGTTAACACCCTGTTAACACCAAACCAACATCCAACGATGAGGATCAATCTCCAATCTACACTAAACATTGAGGCTTAATTCCCAACCTACACTTATCATTGAGAATAAACTTCCAATATACACCCATCATTGAGGATTAAACTCACAACTTACCTAAACCTCAATGGTCAACACTCAATCTACACCTAAATTTAAGTGTTGACACTTAACTTTGATGACAAACACTAAACTTATTACGCCCAAATTTGAGTGTTAACTCTCAAATTTGAGCGTAAGTTTAGTGTTAACACTCAAATTTGGTTGTTAACCATCAAAGTTGAGTGTATTTTTTCATAAGGGATATAAAAGATATACCATTGGTACAAACGTGAAAACGAGTTTCCCTGAATTGCACAACAAGAAAAACATTGATGAACCCTCTAAATCGAGATTAGAAGTCTAATATAAGAGTACAGTGTGTATGACGATTCGTGCGTATGTGTGCATGCGTGCAATGTAGGCGCTATCCTTGTCTATATCCTTGTCTATAAGACAGATATAGGTCGATAACATAGAAAATGGTAATTTTGTCGGTTATACAAAAGACTCCAGCATCACCTTAATTAAAAAATTTAAATTTTTTTTAATTTTATTAATGTAAATAATACATTTCATATTTTTTGAACGTAACTTTAATTTTACGCACATTTATTTTTGCGTAAATTTTGTGTCATTTCTCTTTCTCGTTTCTTTTGTATTTTACAAATTAATTCACATAGAAATCAATATTTTTAAATTTTTAGATCGAGCTTACTTTCTGCTGATTTTAATTCGGTGTTTTCAGAAATATACCAACTGGACGTGGATTATCAGGTAATTTCCAATAATCTGTTGGCGTCCGCTTTCACGTATCACGAGCTCGAAAAAGTGGCCTCGACTTTCGACCTAGACGTAGGTGGTTTGCTATTACTGGAAGCGACAAATTTGAACGACGCTGTTTTGGTTGGTTCTAAGAGAACGCTGTATTTTTCTACTGAAACCAGTAAGTTAATCGCTATTGAAGTAGCTCATTTGAATTAATTGCATTTTGAAACTGATAGAATCCATATCTTTCAAACTACTAGAATCGATATTTTCTTTAAAGTGGTTTAAAAATTGCATGCCACGATTTATTGAATACAGATTTACAGCGCTGATGTAGAAAATAGAATAATTTTTAATAATGTAGAAAACAAAATACATTTACGACAATTAGAAAGATGGCTGCTGGTATTCTCTCTTTATATTTATTAAATAATACTTAATATTATAAAATATTCGTAAAACAAAAAACTAAAAGGGTACATAGAAGTTTCATAATTATCTTAAGAAATGCAAAAAATATATAGTATCATCATTTTATATACATACAGGAGCATTTAAATTGAGACGCCTAAATATCTAAGAAATAAAGCAAAATAGAAAGAAATGTTTCAGACAAAAGTTATAAGGTTTAAAAAGATGCATTTTTCAATAGCAGTATTAGTTTGACCATAAGTGGCGTTGCCAAAGTCAGGTTAAGGTCAACTTTATTTTTATGAAAACCTCTATTTTTTTATTGTAACATCTTTTTCTACTTATAAATTTGAACAACTTTTTTTCAAACATTTTTGTATTTGCCTAATACTTTTTGAGATATTCAAGGAAATATTATTATTTGTGCATCTCCTTGGAACTTTCATGTATTCACAAATATTTAAAAAAAATTTGGATACTATTGCAACAGCAATGATCTTGAAACCAAATCAAGTCGAAAAGTCTACTATTTTCTCTTCGACAAACAAACATGCAATTATCCAGATATCGTAAGCTAAATATTAAAAAAATTGTTCAAATTTATTAGTAGAAGAGTGATACAATAAAAAATAGCGGTTTCTATTTTAAAAAATAAAGATGACCTAAACTTGACTTTGACAACACCACTTATGGTCAAACTAATACTGCTGTTGAATGCCTTCTTAAATCTTATAACTTTTGTCTGAAACATTTTTGTGATATCAATTAAGCTGAAATTTGTTTTTATGGATAGAGTGTCATTAAAGAAAAAAGTTGGTATGGGAAGAATGTTATTTCTGGGGCCCCTCAATTTGATAAGTGTATTTGATAGATTTTTCGCTGAGAAAAAGAATGCCGCGAATCATAATGCGCTACGATGCATAGTTTTTAAAATATCGATTTTTAAATGTAATAATAGCAACATTGGGTAATTGTGTACATGGAGGGGGTCACCTTGGATGACCTTGATATTTTAGTATGTTTTCAAGGTCACCCTCTTGAGTGACCTTCAGAAGGTTTCAGCCCGCGCTCGTTGTTTATTCAGAAGTTATTTAAAAAAAATTTGAGAAATGTAGCAGTTATTTTGAGTATTAAAAGGCATAAATGACTAATATATATGTGGAAATAGTACATGTATGAACAAAGGAAAGTTATTTAAAGCAGTGAATGGAAATTTTAAAGCAGTGGAAAGTCCACGCATGTACTTCGAAGGCACACTATGTGTCTAGTTTAACAATAGTGGAGTTCCCGCAGGAGGGGCGGAACCTACTGCCTCCACGCATACACTTTTCACGAGACGAGTTGTCACATGAGTTCGTGGCGTGCTTTACGAGCGTTTAAGTAGAGGTGGTATTAAACAAGATAAGTTAGTCGATCATCTGTGTGAATATTTGTGGCGATATACAATAAAAAGAATTGGAGGAGACCCATTTTATGTATTACTAGATGACATAAAATATGTGTATTCGGGAAATTAATAGAGAATATATAATATGTTTCATTATGTATATATATATAAACGAGCTCGTAAAGCACGCCACGAACCCATGTGACAACTGGTACAATAATTTCGCAGAAAACACGTGGACTCGTGAATGGAGGAGCCGAAAACAACGATTTGCTGCTTTAAATAACTTTTCTTTGTTCATGCATGTACTATTTTAACATATATATTAGTCATTTATGCCTTTTAATACTCAAAATAACTGCTACATTTCTCAAACTTTTTTTGTTAATAACTTCTGAATAAACAACGAACGCGGGCTGAAACGTTCTGAAGGTCACTTAGGAGGGTGACCTTGACAACATGTTAAAATATCAAGGTCATCCAAGGTGACTCCCTCCATGTACACAATTACCCAATATTGTTATTATTACATTTAAAAATTGATATCTCGAAAAGTATGCATCGTAGCGCATTGTGATTTGCGGCATTCTTTTTCTCAGTGAAAGATCTATCAAATAAACCTATCAAATTGAGAGGCCCCGGAAATAACAATATCCCCGTTGATATTGAATATGGTGATGATTGGTGAAGGGGTTACCGATTTCTGTTTTAACAAACCTTCGTGTTTGTTCTAATTTCCGTACATTTTGTGATATTGAGCTGAATTTTTTGATGGATAGATTATCATTAAAGAAAGGTTGGTATTGAATTTGGCGAAGATCGTTGAAAGAATAACCGATTTTTGCTTTCAAAGTGTATATGGTATACATGTAATTTTATATAGAGTTTTATTAAAAAAAGGTTGGTATTGAATTTGACAAGGATAGGTGAAGTTTTCTACTCTTATTTCATAAATTTTTGATGGATAGAGTAAAACATTTTTTTAGTTTTATTTATAAAAAATATTTATATCTGAAAAAAATTTTTTTTTACGGATAAAGTATCGTTAAAGGAAGGTTAGTATTTAATTTGGCGTCGATCGGTGAATTGGTTTTCCGATTTATGCCTAAAAAAAGTATAAGTTATATATTTGTGGTGTCCAGCACGGGCGCAACAATATGTAATCTTATATAGAGCATCATTAAAGGAAGGTTGATATTGAATTTTCTGATGATCTGTGGGAAAAGCTTACCGATTTCTGCTTTAAAAGTGTATGAAGTTTTCTACCTCTATTTCATATACAATGTTTTTTATTATAAATTTACAAATATAATAAAAAAAGTGTTTACTTTAGAAATTTGCAGATTGCTTCCTCATCATTTTACTTCGCTTATGCTTATAAAGTTTCCTCAATGAGGAAGCCAATCTATTATATGCTAATAATTTGGCAAATTTCTCATAGATAAAACTTTATGAGCAAAAAAAATGACCAGGAAGCAAGTTTTAGATAAAAATTTAGAAATGCTGCAAAAATCAATTTAAAATTACTATTGTATATGTTTGTGTATATGTACTTGTATACTCAGTCCTATTACTCGTGCCCGAGCGTGGTGATTTCTCTTCATATACATGTGTTGCGCACGTGGATTTATACACATTGTATATGGAACCTACAGTTTAACGCCGATTTCGAACGGCAATTTTTAAAGAAGTTTTCGTGGCAAGACATACTCTCGGTGGTTTGCCATTGCCTTCCGAGAGGAGAACGAGCGAATAAAATTTTTCTAGCTCTACCGGGAATCGAACCCGGGACCTTTGGTTCAATAGACTAGTGCGCTGTCTACTAGGCCACGCTCGTCCTAAGGACATATATGTACTTATATGTGTATATTTGTACATGTATATGTGTATATGTGTATATATTCAAACGTATCGCCTTTATTTCCATCTGAATAAATGATTATATCTATAAGTTGCTGTTTCACTTAAAAACCTTCCTATATGAGAAAGCCTAAGGTAAAATTAGAAAAAAATTATACATATATTTGAAAAAAAAGGTACAGTAACAACTGTGCCGCAAACAACAACGTAGAACTACGTCAACTGTCACTATTTCATATTAAAGTATTCAACGAAGGAAAGTAGACGTAAGGCTTATACGTCAACTGTCACTATTTCATGTTATAATATTCAGCGAAAGACAGTTGACGTAGCCCTACGTCTACTCTCCTTCGTTGAATACTTTAACATGAAATAGTGACAATTAACGTAGTTCTACGTTGTTGTTTGCGGCACAGTTGTTTTTTATTTTTTCTTTATTTTTTAGATATTTAGGCGTCTCAGTTTAAATGCCCCATTCTGTAACATAGAACTATAGCTATTAAAACTACACGTATAAACCCAGGGAGCGCCAATGCGCGTATAATGCGCTTGTACATTAAACTTTGCATTAAATGCGGGTCGTAAATACACATTTAATGCGCGTATTTGTCCCCCATTATATTCGCATTTAATGCATATTATTATGGCAGCGCATATCAAAAGTGCACCTACGCTCATTGATCGAGAAGCCTAATTGGACAAAGTGAACTCTGTACTATATTGGAATGCTCACTGCAATGTTTAGAGGCTGGGCACAAAGAAAAAGAGGATAAGTTGCTCAGTGTCCAGACAGAGAAAGAAACGGACGTTAAGCAACCTATCTCTTTTTTTCTTTGTGCCCGGCATTCTAAGCATTGCTGTGAGCATATATATTCCAGTACAGCTATCACAGAAGAAAAAAACATTCTTATTTAGAGAATATCTTTATTTTTGACATGTAAATCTTGAATTAAGATTACATAGTGTAAGACAAAGATAAATTACTCGCATCAAAGCACTATACATAATTCAATAAAGAAAAATATATTATTCAAAAATAACTGTTATTAATGATAATGAGGTTTTAAAACCGAATCTGGTTTTTACCTCACAAGGAGGTCTGCTTATATATACTGCTGGATGTATTTTAAATACGAGATAGCTCTTCTTACCATCATGCGCCACTTACCGGCGTTGTTGCGAACTACCGTCGTCAAATGCGTTAATGCGTTTTATAGGTGGTGTAGGTCGCCACAATGTTATTTTCTTCTTACCCTGCTGAAAAAGTTTGATTAAATCCAATTAATATCATATTAATTTCAATAAAATTTTAAAGGTTTTATGACATTCCATTGGCCTAGTCAGAATAATAAAAAACGAAACTATTAGATATAAACAGATTCAATCAAACAGTCAGAATAAGCTGGTATTAATAAGTTATAAGAAGAAATTTCTGAACAGATTTTAATAATTCGTATCATTTTGAATAGCACCTGTTTTCTACTGGTTTTTATGACAAATTTCAAAAAATAATCTATAAG